CATTTCCAACTCGTTGTTCCCTGCTCAGGTTACACTCAACAGTCTATTTCGCCTGTATGCTGTCATTCAATGGTCTCAACAGTGTGGGTTCAGTCCATCTCTAATTCCTTAGACATAATTGTTGGGTAATAGATCCCTGATTGATTCCTTGACAGTATTATTGATCAGTTAGGATAATAGTCTTACATGAATTTAGAAAATGGAATAATTTCCTCATCCATGCTAACATCAGAATATCTAGGTAAAATGCTCATAACACACAAACACACACACACGCAAATGAAAACATATACACATCCTCGAAGACTGAACTCATAGCATGTGTTATTCTACTTGTTTTCCCACTTATGTTGATAAACTCATTATGTGTATTATTATTATTGCTGTTGTTTCCTTGGGTTCCTAGTGTAACATACGGCTTCAACTGCACGTCTCCACTTGCCACTTGCTTCTGCCTTCCTTTGCTGTGCTTTCCATCTCCATCCATCTTAGTCCATACTCTTTCATCCAACTCCTCTTCACACGATCTCCTCCATGTCACCCTCTCACTTACGTCCCACTCGCCGCTTCCCTTTCGGCCTGGTTCCACTCGAGAAATGGCCTGACGCGCGCACGATGTCACCCACCGGCCAGCCTCCTCAGCAAGCGAGTGTCCATCTCCATCCATCTCCACTTTCTCCTGCATATACGTTGGTTGGTGATTGGCTCTTGTTTTGTTTGTTTGTGCCCATAGTTTGTTCTTGTTGGTGATTCTTTCCGGCCCGGCCATCTGATCTTCAGTATAGAGCCAGCGAAGACAGTTGTTGTTGATAAACGTCTGCAATAGCCTGTTGGAAATATTCTTTGTGACCCGTCCGCCAAGTTCCTGATCCGTTCCGTATAGAAGAACTGACTGACTTGACATTTTTTGTATTGAAGATCCGACTGAATTTTGTTGTTGATTCTGGCTGGGTGACGAAGATTTCCAGATTGGTTGCTTCAGGTTGATGAATGTGTTTCTCGCCTGCCTTCCCGATTCTCACTCGATTTGACATCCTCGTCCATTCCAACTGGCTGTAGTTGAGACAATGCTCCCTAGATGAATGAAGTAACCTCTTTCACATCCCTCCCGTTGATAGTGATTGACGCTGGATGTTGCTGTTGTTGTTGTTAGTTGGTTATTTCCATAACCTCCGTCTTGTGTATGTTCACACGGAGTCCTGTCTTCTCCGGCTGCTTCTTCGACCAGTCTGTCGGCCGGTTTTCGCTTGTAAGTCTTCGATTTTATGTAACATCAAACATAAATCATCCACGCGCGAAATCCAGGTCTTCTAGGTTCTTCACGTCGGTCCACGTCTTCTCATTTCCCACTCACTGTCTGACGCGTAATCCTGTCAATTTACCACAATTAGGAATATCATTGGTGACAATAAATACCCTTGTCTGACTCCTGTGTTTACTCCAAACGCCTCGCTGAGTTTTTCGTTGTGGATCACTTGACATGGTCCGCTGTCGTACAGCTAATGAATAAGGTTGATGAATATTTGGGGCATACTCTATTGTCTTAACTTCGTTAAGTAGAAGGTTAAACGAAATATCTCCTTATAAATTGACAGGATCTATGAAAATTAGGAAAGATCACATGAAAGGCATAATCCAAGCTGTATTTAACACCATTCAACTTGGATGCTGAATAGCAGTCAAATCCACGACAACGCTCATTTAGTCCTATTTGCGACTCGTCAAATAACTGGAAGTACCTGAATTCAGCAATGAGTCGGTGATTATTGTTTCCACGTGTCAACCTGACACCGAGCACTTCGGTCCATCCAATCAGTTCAATCGACGAGGAAAATCTAAAGCCGAGTAAAAAAACATTCGACTTAGCGTCAACTTCATTTCCCACCATGGTACAAGATCATGACAGTGAACCAATTCCCCAGTAAGTCGCTCGCACTTGCGTGCCTCCAAGTGAAATGAACAACCTAAGTGACATTCAGAAGGATCTAGCCCAAAAACCATTTATTGAAAAGGATCACTCTTAGAAATCTACCAAATGAAACTACCTTTCTATCTTAGCTAATCTAATCAAGAATAACAACTAGAACAACGAGGAACTAGATTAAGAAATCAGAAAATAACAAGATAAGGAAGTGCTTTTTAGAAGAAAATAAATCAATAAGAGGAAAATGTTAAACAGTCAATTGATTTATAGACTTTATTAAACAAAACAATAGGATTAGAATCCCAGTTACCTGTGTGAAAGGCATAGAGATTAAATTGAAATAAAAAAAAATGAAATGAGAAAGGTGCACCCCATCTTTCAACTCTCTTTGAATAAATTTATGAATTTAATTACAATTATTACTAATATTATATTATAATGTTATTATTATTATTAATGCTGGATGGGTGGGTGATGGCATAGTAGTGGGGCACAAACGCACGCATGCACATACACCTATTCATTATACGCTGAACTTTATTCATGAGATTGGAACATTGTTCATCACCTGGTTAGTGAACACTAATCATCAACCGATCGGAGAAGATCAGTAATAAATGTTTGCGGAAAAAAAACAGATAAAAAGTACCCTGTTTTTCTTTGTGGTAATTCATCTTTAAATGTGAACTGGTTTTTCAACACAATGTATTGTACTGTATTGCATTTTCTCTTTTATATTTGTTTGGTTTTTGTTTTTCGGATGTTTCATTTATTTTTACGAGTTGATCACGGATTGATATCAGTTAGAGAACCATTGGAAAACCGGCTACTGGAAATACTGGACAGCTAGCTGTTTCATCAGCCTAGTTTGAGAATCATCGGTAGTAGCACCCACCAACCAGGGTTCGAACCCAGGATCTCCCGGTTATAAGGCAAGCTAGCTCATATACCATTCAGCCATGGAGAATTGATACAATGGCTCATGAATTCTAACTTTTAGCAATTCGTGATTTAGCGTGACCCCAACCAATGTCGTTGGTAGGGCATCCATCCTCAAACGTTTTCGTTTTTATTTTCAATTGTAAGTTTCATTGTGTACTGTGAACAATGAGAGAATCTTCAATACTGAGCGCATTTGACGCCACGGGGTATTCGCGGAACAACATCAACCTGTTAACTATTTAACCTTCTGTATTGGTCAGTAAATGACTGATGGATGAAAAGAATTTAGTTGATAGTAGACACGGTAATAGTGGGTGGTGCGTGCCGCTGAAGAGCTCCAAATAGGATGAAACAGTTGCCCAGTACTCCCAGTTGGCTTTCCAATGGTTCTCTAACTAATGTTAGCTAATGATGAAATCCTGTAACCAACTAAATCCCTACAAACCAACATTGAATTTTACATATTACTGACTCGCTAAAATAAGTTGTTGAACAGTATTTACACGTATTTCACTTGTTTGGAGCTAAGCTCACCAGTTATGTAGTGAATAAATTACAAGTTGTGAATTTGATTTGAGATATTAACAATTCGTTGGAGGACTTCATCATGAGCTGACGTTAGTTAGAGAACCATTGGAAAGCCAGGCAGGAAGCACAGGACGGCTGTTTCGTCAGCTTGCTTTCGGGCTCTTCATCAGTACGCGCCCACCACCAGGGGGTCGAACTCAGGACCTTCTAGTTACAAGGCCAGCGAGCTCGCAGACCATTAGGCAACCACTGAGGCCTGATTCGTCAGAATAGCTAATCAAAAATCGGATGGTTTGAAATGATTCAGCGCTTTGGGCTGAGTAAAAACTTTCGATACCAATGACGAGCGCGACACCGAACAAGTGAAACGAACGTCCGGTGTTTAGATAACCTCGATTTAGCTGGTTAGCAGCACTACTAGTTGATATTTAAGTGGTTTACAACTACTGTTATACTACTATACAACTACATTTATAAAACTAATTATCTCCGTCTATCAGTAGTATTTTTGGTCTTACGCAAATATATTTGCTTATTTGATTACCATTCATGGTTTCAAGCAGATCGCATATTGTGATCTGAATTCAGTTGAGTTTCCAAGGGAAACTACCGCGGTGAAAATTTTACCATTCGAACTTTGAAAAAATTACCAATTACTAACATGATTTCGAATGCTCAACGTGTGGTTCCCGTGCTCTCTGCCTGATGAGATTTTGGGTGTATACTAATGAAGGGACTCCAAGTGGGACGAAGTGACTGCGTGTCCATCCTTCGCGTTTAGTCAAAAATTTTCCAAATCATATAGGTTCTTGATAAAGTTCATCTTGAAACCGATGAGTCATATTCATCAGGATTATATAATCAGTGTGAATTCTCAAAAAGAGCCCTCGCAGCGAGAGAATCGGACAAGGTAAATATGGAGAAGGTGGAAATTGACCATACTCTTCGAAGAATCCTTCAAGTGATGTCAAACATCAGTCAAACCGTAGAGTGGAATCCGAAATAGAATCGCCCGATTTCGGAGCAGGTTCGAGGGTGATATAGAGGGAATCATATGTGGAGAAAAAATAACCTCTTGCAGTCACTTGTGGAACCACGTCAGAAGGACGACAAAGAACTAAGATTTACAACAAATATAACAAGAAACAAGATTCTAATATTTTGAAGAACTTATTATCAAGTTATTGCTTATATACTGCTCGAAGGCTCGGTACTTCATATACCGTATATTTCCATCAGGTTAATGAAGACTTCCATCGATAGCTCTCCCAGCTGACTCGATAGTAAAGGTCAGATAGCCGATCAGAAAGGATCACCTTAGGCATCAAACCATCCAAGCAACTTTTACCAAAAAGTATGCAGGATTAAGTGGAGATGGATGTGAAATAGGTGCTAAGGGGACTATTGAGTAAAATCACGCACAAACCGGGTCCTCAAGTGGAACCCAGATGGGAAAGCGATGAGTTTGGCTACAGGTCGTAGGAAAGACCATGTCTGGGTGGTCATCGAGGCAAGTGGAGGCATATTAATGAGGCCTTCTTTTTCACTTGAAATGCAAGCGATAATTAATAATAATGTTTTAACAATTTGTCGATCAATAACTTACCTGTATTCCAAGATCAGACGACTGAGTTTGTGGATCGCATAACATTTGAACTTTGATCAATAGATTGGTAAAGTCGGTATTTCTTTTAGTATTTTTTTAAAATTCAAACAAGACAAGGGAGATAAAAATACAGACGATTAGACAAGCAAACACAACATCAGAATAAAACTTACTACCAGACAGAAGAAAGAGAAAAAATTAAGAAAAAATAAATAAATAAAAGGGAGACAAATCTAAGTCGGTTAAAACATAAATTTCAAAGCTGTCGATACGGATGAGCAACACATGTGTTAAGCCTAACATAAAAAAAATCACACCTGTTCTGTTGTGAATATTTTTGTTCATCTGGCTGTATCTATGTCTTTCTTTTGCAAAAGAAATGTTTATTAAGAGTTGGTTTGTAGGGACTGGAAAACCAGCTGAAGGAGGTGGGAGGAATTACTGGCCTGTAGTTTCGTCCGAGTTCGGGACTCATCACAGATACACACACACAACACCAATGGGGATCGAACCTTGTAACATCCAGTCAAAAGGCAAGCTAGCTTGTAGACCGTTCAACCCTTGGTGCCCAACTGAATGGCCCAACGCATGAATTCTAACTTCTACTAATTTGTGATCGTTTTATTGTGACTGACATCAGCCAGTGAATATCACAGGCGAGTATTTCTTCTCACATCTGACCTGATCGACCCCTCTGGTCATAATAAGTTCGAAACTAGGCCGAAACAGCTGCCGACTACTATCTGGTTTTCAGCGGTTCTCTAAGTGAAATCAGTCCATATTTTTATGTAGATAAATCTTATCAGTAACACAAGCTACATTTCAACCATCTGTTGTCATCGCAGAACATCGTTAGGTGTAAACTGACAAAACGACCTTACTGGTGACGACTTCTTGTTAGATCTTAAGGACATTTATTCTGAAGACTGTGGGTAGAGGAGAGTTTTGCTCAGGAAGGTTCCGTGTACTTTAAGAAGTGTGTGGGCGGTTGTTACTTCCCGGCTGCCCGACCAACACCGTGGAAGTTGATTGATTCTTCAGGTAACTGAAACAGAGAGAAGGTTAGTGTTGCATGACTGCAGAGTCCAGGGGATAATTGCTTAAGGCCGGTCACACACACGGCGTGTATGAACTGGTTCCTTGGTTTGGTTCCGTATTAGTAAACTTACCACCAGTTACGGATCACCTTATGTGGCGTAAGTCGGGATGTAAAATTTGTAGGGTCGCCTTTTTCTGACCCCCTCTCTGCAGAGAGGAGAGACAGCATGCTGGTCATCTGAGGAAAACGCCCCACTGCTGTTACACCCCTGTTCCCCTGCAGCACGACTTCGCCCACAGATCTCCAGCATAGTGTAAAAAAGAAGAATTCTCACACTATGTCGGCAACTGCTTTTAGTCTAATTGCTATCCCAACGACCTTCCTGGCATGTAAGGACCTGCAGGAACATTGGTAGCAACTAGTGTAGCTTGTTGGGTCATTGTGATTTACAAGCCAACCACCACGTCAAGGTAGCAGCTATCGGTCGGGCATCCTGAAGACAGCCACTAATGACCAGAATACTACTATTCAGAATATGAAGTTCTAGGGATACGATCCTAAGAATTTCAAGGCAAAAGAAAATATCAGTTCAATGTCTCATGATTTTCAAAGATTTTTTTTTCGACTGATGACAACTTGTGAAGAAATTTACAGTAAAATTCATCAGATCTCGAAGCATTTATGATCTGAATCAGGCATTAATTCCTACGACTCATTTTCTTTACGTGTATCCCCCTTCCCCGGAGATGAAATAATACTATGGTCTCTAGTCAAAGAATCATTGAAAGCCAGAAAGTACTAGAGAACAGCTTTGCAGTATTTCGAAATACTTTTTAGCAGTAAGCACTCATTATTCCACTGGAGATTTCACCTAGAACTTTGTGTTTTGAGATGAGTACACCGAGTTTTCGAACACTGGGACAGAATCCAATGGCTCATCAACTCGCTCTTGAAAATTATTCGAATACTCACTAGTGACATGCTTCGAAATGACTTTGTCACCAATGAGGTGATGAAATTTCAGGGATAACCATCAGAGAACTTAAATTATTCCCTGGGACAGTTAACGATGACTCCTGTGTACCAGATGACATGTTTGTTAGCTCAGTGAAAAGTTGATAGATATACATTTTCATTTTAGCTTCAACTACATACGTTAAATTTAGGAGTAGCTGTCGCATTAGATATATTAGAAGGACAGAAAGAATTACCCATCTTTGACTTCCTGGATACATTCACAAACGTCTGCAGTTAAGACGAAGTAAACGTTTGATGAGCTCAACCATGAGATGTCTGAGCAACACAAGATACCAGGTGTACATATTTATGGTATCAATAGTTCACCTAGTACACAGTCAGAAATCATCTGGTTTGAATTGATCCAGCTCTCTGAACTGTTGACAAGCTTCACCTAAAAAAGCCAGTTGAATGTCCTGTGTTTAGACCACTTCGACAATTTTGCTAGCTAGCTAGCTAGCAGGCACTACTAGTTGATATGTGGTTGGTTTACAACTATTCACAAAAATCGGGGAGACGCAGTTGGTGAATAAGCTTCTTCTGGTTGCCATAAAGAATCTCACCTCTGAACCACTTGTCCATTGTCAATTTTCGTATGTGTAAAATTTTCCATATTGGTTTGTTTATTAGATGCATCACACAGTCAGTGAAACAGTATTATTAACTGGATGACAAGGTTTCGAACAAAATTTATCGTTGTTCATAATCATTTCATCAATTATAATCACACGACTTCGAAACTTGAGTTTCATAGTTTTCTTTGTTTTCTCCTATTTGTCGTCGTAGGGATAGTAGAATTTTCCAGATATCCGACTGGACAGGTATTGAATCGTTTCTATTACATGTATTCACTGTCAGTTGATTCGATAAACAAAGCTTCCGTTGACATCAGTCTCTCCCTATACCCTGTTACATTAGATTTTAAAGCTGTCGTCCTATCCCTTCCACCCTATTGTATGGTTGTGTGTAACTGCATGTAGTGAGTGGTATAGCTGAACTATTCTCTAGATATCTTATCCTATTTGTTTAAATGACAGAGCACAAAAACTAAGTAGTACCAAGGAAAATCTAAGACAGGAAGTTATACACATAAAAGAAGCCTTGAAACTTAATAATTACCCGGATAAATTAACCAGAAAATATGCAGGGAAATGTAAAAATAAAATAAAAAATGATAGTAGCGATGGTGATAATAATAATAATGACAACAATAATCATAATGACGACACCAACACTGAGGAATCGAAAACATCAGTAGTAATCCCATACAAGGAAGGAGCCTCGGAAACCTTACGCAGAATTCTTAACAAGGCAGGCAGTAATAAAAGTGGCTGGGATTCAAACCAACCACAAACTCAATCAGAAACAAGCTTTGTCGGTTGAAGGATCAGTCCTGTGGAGCCTTTAAAACAAAACAATTTAGTTTATCTAATACCCTGTCTGCAGTGATTGTCAGGTCAAATACACAGGTCAAACTAGTAGAACAGGGACAGCCAGACTAGCCGATCATAAAAACCTAACAGCGAAATCTAGATTAGTTAACCCGAATAAGAAATCTAGAGAATAGTTCAGCTATACCACTCACTACATGCAGTTACACACAACCATACAATAGGTTGGATGGGATAGGATGACAGTTTTAAAATCTAATGTCACAGGGTATAGGGAGAGATTGATGTCAACGGAAGCTTTGTTTATCGAATCAACTGCAAATACATGTAATAGGAATGATTCAACACCTGTCCAGTCAGATATCTGGAAAATTCTACTACCCCTACGACGACAAATGGGAGAGGACTAAGAAAGCCTCAAGTTTCGAAGTCGTGTGATTATAATTGATGAAATGATTATGAACAACGATAAATTTTGTTCGAAACCTTGTCATCCAGTAAATACTAATACTGTTTCACTGACTGTGTGATACATCTAATAAACAAGCCAATATGGAATTACTTGCTACCACAGTACCCAAGTTTTACATATATAGTGTAGAATTTCTCTCTGAAATTATAAATTTTGTTTGGCACGTTTTTCAGAGGATTTATGCACTACTCCAGGAGGTTAGCTGTAACGACTCTGGCTTCATTACTAGCTGACGCAGGTTAAAATCTCTGAAAGGACATTCCTTCCTTCAACGTGGAAGATACATCCTGATGAAGAGTAGGAACAAGAACGAAACTTAAGTTCAGAAAGGGTTATCTACTGACTGCCACCAACCAGCTAACACATACTACTTAAATTTGCCCTGGCCATGAGAGTGGAGACATGAAAAGACTGTCTTTGATCATAGGTGCCTTGCTCTTCCGTGTAAAGTGGCATAATAAGGTGCAACATGGAAGTTAGCGTCGAGTTCTAGGTAAACAGGGGAAATCAATCGACGAAGTCGTGAAGTTACAAAGACTGAGATGGTTAGGACATGTGTTACGTATGCCAAGCCATCGCCTCCCTCGACGAGCAATGTTAGCGGATATAGGGTCAGGCTGGAAAAAAGCTAGCGGCGGTCAAACAAAAACTTGGCATCAGTCAATGAAATCCACAACAGTTGGTCTAAGCCACGTAGGAAGGTGTAGACTTCCAGGCTGGGGTCCTCGGACGGTAAAAATCTATGGTTGGAAACAATTGGTGACATGGCTCAAAACCGTTCTCAGTGGCGCAGATGCATCCACTCCCTGTGACTTATGACCTTCAATGAAACTGTTTTGTATTTCTTTATTACTCCTTTGTCTCACACCTCTGCTCATTGTTTCTATTATGCTTTTCTTGTACTTTCTTCTCTTGCTTCGCGTGCTACATGGAGTGTGGCGACTTGAACTGGCGCACATTTGTGCAAAGTTCTACGTCGAAAACAGACAGACAGACAGATATATATATAGTAGACACCACAGCAATACAGAACAAAATGAAACATTTATGTCAACAAAAAAAACTTACTTCACTTGCTCTTGTTTTAATAATTTGATAACATGTGAATGTAGAGGTTTAAGGATAAATCGTTGCAGCGCTGATTCCAAATGGAAACCAACATTCACGTAACCAAATTGATTGAGCTAATTATGGGGAAAATAAAAATTAAAAAAAATACAAATGAAATGTTAAAGAAATACATATTCTAGATATTTCAGTTATTAATTTGTAATGATTTGGTCAATTTCAGGTTAGATCACGAACAGATATAACTAATGAGTCACTTGGGGATGGATTCGAACAGTCGTGTCGAATCAGTTTGGAAATTTCAGCATGTTATAGAGTATTGAATCTAATCTTCTGTTGGTATAGTAGTATGGTGAGGGGAAATACAAAATTAACGGTTCTATAACACAGCTTAAATGATGTTCACACTTATGAAAAATTAACAAATAAAAACAAAAAAATTGAGAGGATTATAAATACAAGAAATGCAATAAAATAAAGGTTGATGTTCTAAGGGTGGAGGAAATGGTCTGTTTAGTAGTGCAAAGAAGGTTAGTTAGTTCATGCCTAACACTATTTTCATCACATGAAGTACGTGCTAAATATGGTATAGTGGAATTTTTATACTTAGACGTACATGAATAAATTCTTCCGAAAAGACTTCTTGTTTTACCTGAAGAGACACAAGGTTGGAGTTGCGGGTAAAGTGGATGCTAACAGTCTGGCGAAATTCCTTCAGCAAATCTGTTGCATGACATCAAGTGACTCTCAGTGACAATGTCAACGATATGGTCCAATGGGATGCCACCACTCGTCCTACTGACAGCTAGTCTTCAGAGTTCTACGAAGTATGACATAGTCATTTTTAAGCTACCCAGGAAAGAATAGGAGTGGACAGTAAAGAAGAATAAGTGAGATGCACAAGTTGACAAACTGTATTAGGAGGAAGGGTTGGGTTATGCCTGAGTGCCTGAAATTTCTAATGTAAAAAGTCGGACAAAAAATATTCTTTTACAAATCGCTAAGACATTGAGAAGACCAGGATAAGTCAGAAGAAAGAATTAATCCAAGATACCTAACTTCAGATTTGATATCCATATCACTATCATCAATTTTGCAATGATTATAAGAACCAACAGCTTCATTTAACTTTCTTTTACATCGGGAACTAAAATTGACAGTCTGACACTTGCAAGGGTCAAGATCATTAAACGAAGGCAATTTGATGACTCCTGAACCATTGGAATCTATCTCTGTGACTCGAAGGTCAACAGGATGGCTTCGTAACTTGAAGGCCGTGAGTTTCACCTCAAGTGAAGTGACAGGTGCATACTTTTGACGAATGCCAAAGAAAGATGAAACAGCCGTACAGTACTCTTTAATTTCCAATTATTGTCTAGCTTATAAAGGTGGAAGGAAGGAAATTCCTACAGATCATTCAAACCTAGATGGCCAAGGTAAAGATAATGTCTGAACTAGCCTCTAATCGGGCGCATAAATTAGGCTTCTTAATATGGATCCCAAAAGCCTGAGCAATATTTAGTAGTCAAACTCTTAAGGGAAAATTAAGATTTGTTGGTATGCGGTAAGTAACCCTGAAAGCCGCCTTGTTAACATCAATCTTGTGTTCAGTATCCACAGGATGAGATAGAATAACGCCTTGAATAGACTTTGTTTGTCCTTTACTTAACCACTATGCAGGGTGATGTTCGGAAATCCAACGAGAAACACGCCTAATTGTACGGCTTATGTAACTGGCTACACAAGAATAGTTAAATTGGTAGACACACATTGAAGAAACGCAATTCTTCATCTCCTGTCTTCCAGACCATTTCCTCCGACTTAAACTTGTCTTATATTATAGGCGTCGACTAGGAGGATCAGTCATGCCCTTTTTATTTTATTCCTTTACGTTACCAGTCGCATTTGCCAGTTTACGCCGACTCTGGCGTAGACGAGATGTTCGACTATCGACCAAAGGGCGGGTGTACTGCTCATCAGTCCGCTCCGTCCTCCTGTATGGTTGTGAGACCTGGCCACTGAGAGTGGAAGACATGAAAAGACTAGCTGTCTTTGGTCATAGGTGCCTGCGCTCTATTTCCCGTGTAAAGTGGCATAATAAGGTGAGCAACATTGAGGTTAGGCGTAGAGTTCTAGGTAAACTGGGGAAATCAATCGACGAAATCGTGAAGCTACAAAGACTGAGATGGTTAGGACATGTGTTACGTATGCCTAGTCATCGCCTCCCTCGACGAGTGATGTTAGCGGATATAGGGTCAGGCTGGAAAAAAGCTAGCGGCGGTCAAACAAAAACTTGGCACCAGTCAATGAAATCCACAACAGTTGGTTTAAGCCAGCCACGTAGGAAGGTGTAGACTTCCAGGCTGGGGTCCTCGGGACGGTAAAAATCTATGGTTGGAAACAATTGGTGACATGGCTCAAAATCGTTCTCAGTGGCTAGTGCAGATGCATCCACTCCTTGTGACTTATGATCTCCAATGAAACTGTTTTGTTCTTCGTTATTACTCCTTTGTCTCACCCCTCTGCTCACTGTCTCTATTATGCTTTTCTTGTACTTTCTTCTCTTTCTTCGTGTGCTACACGGAGTGTGGCGACTTGAACTTCCGCACATTTGTGCAAAGTTCTATGTCGAAAACAGACAGAAAGACAGACCAGTAGAACATAGAGCTTCAAGCTGGAACTTCGAAGTTTCTCTAGCACTGATGTTTATTTTCACGGGATGGAATCGGTAGCCTCATGCCCGAACCTCCCTCTTTACCACTTTTATTACTGGCTTAGTCAGGTAAAGGTGCGCTCTGGTGGCTGGAGATCGAACCTTGAACCACATGAGGTGTGGTTGGTGAGTATTTTACCTCTGTACCACTGACTCACTGAGCCACGCATAAAGCAGAATTTTTTTATCATATGAAGAGAATTGAAACTTCTTTAATAAAAATAAATGAATGCCACACGACTTGACTTATTATTTGAATTCACCATAGCTCGAGTCTGCTGTATTGGAATGTTAGATCTATGCGAAATACTGACTCCTCGTACGGACGCTTCAACGAGATGAAATGTTTAACATGATATCATCTGGTCAGTGTCGGCTGTCATGGATTATTGGTCTACTGGATAATCTGGATGAGGGGGGGGGTGTGGCTTGAAATGACAAGCTCAAACATCATCACTCACTGGTGAATGCATGTACATGCAAATATAAAATTGTTTATCTAAGTGATGGAATTGAAGCGTAATACAATTTATCTTAATTTTAATCTCTCATACTCTCTCTCTCGCCTTATCTATTTGAATATGACCTGAAAAACATTCGCAACTGTCATCTTTCAGCATGACTAATTCAATGTAGTTTGTTTACTTATCAGTCTTATATCTCCTAATAAAATTTCAAAAGTGTATATATATCCGTGTATGTAAAGTATTCAGCTGAGAAACAGTTCTACTGAAATTTGATGAATTCATTAAATCCTGCTTTATTAACAACAACCTTTGTTGCTTGTTTTAAATTCGTATTGGGAAATAAATGTTTTCAATACATCCAGATAGCTGACGAGTCCCACTAGGACGAAATGCGCATCATGGATTCCTGCTAGTTACCATCGACTAACTAACTAAACAGATATCGTCGAAGCATCTCTGCACAAGAAGCTAAATGTCAACCTGAGACCGACTGCTTCGGTCTAATCAATTGACGGGAAAATCTAAAAATGAATTAAATAATTTATTAAAACGGTTGTTAACAGGCAAAACAATACACGACATGAAAAGCAGACCAGCTGATGTTGAATGAAAAATAGTGTACGTAATAAAGAAAGTAAGGAGTCAAATTGTGTCAGGGGTGATGTTTATATTTTATAAGGATTCACAACTTACCTCTTTTTTCTCTCGTTCAACAGCTTTAGGTAAGCCAAGTTCAGGATTTTTGAGTAAATAATTCGTCATCCCATTGATAAATTGACGAATCTGAAGGCAGATAGATAAATAGAAATAAAGAAACAAAAAATTACAGTAAATACATAAATAATTTTTTAAGGATTGATTTGTAAAGATCTGATTTGTTTTTCGAATTTGACCACGGATTTTGTCTTCTAACTGGAAGGTCCTGGGTTCCAATCCCATCCGGTGGCTGCATACTGCCAATGATTCCGAAACACCAGGACAAAACAGCTGTCTGTCTGTCTGGATTCAACATAGAACTTGGCACCGAAGTGCATCAGTTCGAGTTGCCACGTTCCAAATAGCACACAGAGGTAGACAAGAAGATGAGTGAAGAGAATCGATACAGTCTGACAAGTATAAGAGTGAAACAGAATGGGTAATGGTAGAAAGGAATATGAAAGATTACAGAGACTGAATACATCTGCGCCATTGACAACGATTTTGAGCCATGTCACCTATTGTCTCCAGCCATTGATTCCTAGAGTCAGTCCCGAGGGCCCCAACTCGGGAGTCTGCATCTCCCTACCTGACTCAGTTTGACTGTCAAGGATTTCATGGATTGATGAGGCCATGTTTTTGTTTGGTCACCACTGGCTCTTTTCCAACCTTCACCTATATCAGCTAGCAATGCCCGTCGGGGAGGCGGTGGCTAGGCATGCGCAGCACGTGACCTAGCCATCTTAGTCTATGTAACATTATAGCCTCGTCGATTGATTTTCCCTCTTTGCCCAACACTCTACGCCTAACGTCAACATTACTTACCTTGTGAAACCACCTAACGTGAGACAGAGATCGCAGACATCTATGATCGAAAGCAGTCAACCTTTTCATGTCTTCAACTCGTATTGGTCATGTTTCACTCTCTAAATGGCTTTCATGGTTCTCTAACTGATATACCCTTGAAAATTAATCTGGAGCTCGCTAGTGACTTGCTACAGGATGGAGTTTCCTGCAGTTCTAGTGAGAAATCGTGACTAGTCGGGTGCATCCAGTCGGTAGTAGGGTTGGATTTCGCACCGATGACTTTGGTTGGTGGTGATCGCGCTAAAACGACGACGAATTGGTAGAATTTAGAATTCATGGGCTGGCCACTAAGTCGGGTCCCATTAGTTGAATAGTATACACGAGCTTGCTTGCTTTGAAACCGGAAAGTTCCGGCTTCGAATCCTAGAGGTGGGTGCATACTGCTGATGCGTCTCAGACTAGGATGAAACTGCTGTCCAGTTCTCTAGGCTGGTTTTCAGTGGTTCTGTAACAACAGAAGACAAGGGCGAAACAACAGATCGTTTTATTATGAAAATCAACACGTATTTATACATATTTCACATACATTATTATAGCTTATGCAAGTAGACAAGCGCAGTCATCTGATTGGTTGTTTATCAGAAGTTAGGCAGACAAACGCGGGCTTCTGATTGGTTGTTTCGGGATTCCTCGACAAATAGAGTTCTCTATCTGCGAATCATATTTTGCCACGTTAAATTTGCTGTGATTGGTTGTTGAATCAGCCTTGCTCGTATTTTCTCACGGCCTGCTCTTACCACAGTTCTCTAACTGATATCAATCCGTGATCGAATTCAAAAAATAAATAAATATTTTGATTGGACACTAGTAACTAGCGTGACGTGTCTAGTTCTTTCTTTGGTGCTCACAAGGTAACATCTGTGACTGCAGCACTGACTGAGTGAGGTGGATTCGAATCTCAAAAGGGACATGAGTTGTTTCTTCAAGATTCCAGATACGCCTTGCTGATGAATGCCAAACTAGTTTGTTGTGTCCTTCTCTATGACTGTGAGACATCACCGTTGAAAGTGGAATACTTGAAGAAGCTAGCTGTCATTGACCATAGGTGTTAGCGTTCTGTTTCCAAAGGTGAAATAATATGATATTCTGAGCAATATTAGAGCCACTTGCAGAACGTTATCTATTATTATTATATTATTATTTCGTTTAATTCCTAGAGGAACACAGGGCTTCAGCTGCACGTCTCCATTGCGTTCGGTTCTCTGGTAGAGTTTTCACCTGGCTCCACGTCCCCCTACATGCCTTCATTTCCTCTTCACATCACCTCCTCCAAGTCACCCTCGCACTGACGACCAACTCGCCGCTTCTCTTTCGGGTTCTACTTGAGCAATGGCTTGTGTAGTAATGCTACTTGATTGTTTCCTCAGGATACGGCTAATCTACATTCATTTCCTCCTGCTATTTGTTGCACATTCGGTCCCTGGCTGGTTCGCTCCCAGAGATCCACACCTGTTGCTGAACGTTTCTGGCCGGCCATCTGATTATGAGCAGTATTGAGCGTAAACAACTGTTGATGAAGATCTGTAGTTTGTTTGAGATGCTCTTTATGACGCGCAGTGCAAGTCTCTGATCCGTACAGTAAGTAGCACTGACTTCACACTGGACTTGAAAATCCGGATCTTATTCTGATTTTCATGCTGAGTGCTGTTGACCTCCACACAGATTTGAGAGTAATGAAAGCTTGTCTTGCTTTCCCGATCCTTGCTTTGATATCCTCGTTACTTCCGTCCAGCTGTAGTTGAAACGATGCTTCCCAGGTATTGTAAAGGAGGTTGTATCTTTCAAAGACCTCCCATTTATGCTGATTGTTGTCTATTATTGTTGTTGTTGGCCAGGAATCTTCACCATCATCTTCAAAACGTTATGTAAGGAAGACAAATCACTTGATGAAGTTGCGAAGTGCAACGACTGTGATAGTTAGAACAGGCATCATCCATGCCAACCTATCGACATATCAACAGACTTTCATGGGTTTGTATACAGGGGTCTGATTTGTTTTCACGAGTTGATCACGGATTGATATCAGTTAGAGAACCATTGAAAACCAACCAGGGAATATTGGACAGCCAGCTGTTTCATCCTAGTTCGGAACTCATCGGCATTACGCACCCACTGAATAGGTTTGAAACCCAGCACCTTCCGGTTACAAGGTAAGCTCATGGATCACTAAGCCACTGGGATTCGACTCAACAGCCAGCCAATGTATTCTATCTTCTACCGATTCATGATATTTAGTGCAACTCCCAGTCACTGTTGCTAGTGTTACTCCCAACCTTATGTCTTTTCCGGGTTCACTTTCAGTTTCAAGAGAGACTTTTGAAGGTATGCCGGTCAAGAATCGAATTCAGACCATCGCTGTTTTAAAAATGTTTTTGGACAATAATATAAGCACTTTTGTCAATAGTCGATGTTTTTCTCCTTGTTTTCATGTGCATCCATGGTATTGTTTTTATTACTGGTACTTGGTGCATTAGTTTCATAATGCTCACAGTATTCTAAACGATATTAATGGTCCCATCAATGATGTAAAATACCTTATGGCTTGAAAATAACAGTTGTTCATTGATTACCAAACACCTGGTAATTTTTTTAGTGATTGTAGTGTGCTATTATTGATTATTATTATTATGATTCCCTTGGTTCAAAGTGGAATATAACGCTTAAATAGCTTATCTCCACTTCACTCTATTGTCTTCAGTCCTTTTTACCTGGCTACAACATCGTCGTCCACAAGCTCTGAGCTCGTCCACACACTCCCTGCTGTTTTCGTCTCCCACACGTGTTCCACTCGAAAGCCTGCAGTGTAATGTTGTTTAATGATCTTGTAGCGTATGTATATTGAACCTTTGAACTTTTGTTTGAACTCACTCACCTACATTTGGCACTACTTCATCTTTTGAGTTGTGACTCTATGCGCTGTGTACGCTTTAATCCGCTCAATCTATTTTCACAGGCTTTACTGTATTCACTCGGATTATGCACTGATGAAACTTATTTATATTTTGTGAACTGTACTTGTAATCAATTGAATTGAAGTTTTGATTTTCCCGTCGATTGATTGGACCGAAGTGTTCGGTCTCAGGTTGACATGTCGGCTTCTTGTGCAGATGCTTCGACGATGTCTGGGCATTTGATTAGTATACAATTGGTGGATCGTGGCTAGCAGTGGAATCCAGGATGCGCATTTCGTCCTATTTGGGACTCGTCGGTCAACTGGATGTACCTGCATTTCTCAGTGAGTGATGATGTTCCCACTGAGGCTCGAACCCAGGTGGCTCTCATGGCCCAAGTGGTCTAGTGGATAACGCTTTGGCGTTTGAAACTATGGTCACTGGGTTCGAGCCTCAGTGGGAACATCATCACTCACTGAGAAATGCAGGTACATCCAGCTGACGAGTCCCAAATAGGACGAAATGCGCATCCTGGATTCCACTGCTAGCCACCATCCACCAGTTGTACTTGTAATCATTTTGCATTATTTTAATTATACAACTCGCAACATTAAAAAAAAAGTTGTAATGGTAACTACTCATAGCTATTGGTTATATGCACACTTTTGTGTAACTTTTCTTAGTTTTCACAGGTTGGCAAATGCCTTTGTTTCATTTCAATCTGATGTATCAATTCCATGTTACACCATTTTTCCTCGCATTTATTCCGTCAAAGCTTTTGTAACACCTTCATACCGGTTTTGAAATCGTAACCTCTTCTCCGATTCTTTTTTGTTACTTCCACCTTGTTACTTCTGATACGCTGGTATATGTGTATTGCCTTTAGCATCGGTGCTAATTTATATGGAAGCGGAGGAGTGGAGCATTAGTCTAAGATGAAACTTAGACATAATGAGTAACCTTTCCGCTGTGACAACCTAGGCAACGGGGTATACCATCAGACCTCCACATAAGTAAGGCCATAACAGTAGACACTTAAAATAAATAAATAAAAATATAATAAAAAAATAAATACTAAAAAAATAAATACCCTCCGACGAAATTAGAAGTCCTGAAAGCCATCAAGATGCTAAAAGCTGGGAAAGCACCTGGACCAGATGGAATCCCAGCAGAAGCTTTGAAAATAGATCCAGAAACAACAGCGGACTTTATGACGCCACTGCTGGAGAAGGTGTGGAAAGAGGGCAAAGTACCCGAGGACTGGAAGGACGGATACTTATTCAAACTACCAAAGAAAGGAGACTTAAGTCAATGTAAAAACTGGCGTGGAATTATGCTTCTGTCCATTCCAAGCAAGATACTAAGTCGCATCATCCTGGAGAGAATCAAACAAGCCCTGGATCAAAAACTCCGACCGGAACAGGCTGGATTCAGGAGAAACAAATCATGTATTGATCAAATCGCCACTCTACGGATCATCATTGAACAAAGCTTGGAATGGCAGTCACCTCTCTCACTCAACTTCATCGACTTTGAAAAGGCCTTCACCAGACAGCGTCGATCGAGAGGTCATTTGGCAACTACTTCGCTACTACGGGGTCCCATCGACAATTATACATCTCATCCAACAGTTATACGACAATGCTGCATGCCAGGTAATCCACAACGGGAAACTTACGGAAGCCTTCGAAGTGAGGACGGGAGTGCGACAAGGCTGTCTACTATCACCAATGATCTTCCTGATTGCAATTGATTGGATCATGCGACAGACAACGGCAACCAACGAGGGAACAGGCATAAAATGAACTGACACAAAAGACTTGAAGGATCTGGATTTCGCCGATGATATATGTCTGATTTCCCACAAACTGGAAGATATGCAAGTGAAAAGCAACAAGTTGGCAGAAGAAGCATCACAGATAGGACTTCAAGTGAACATAGATAAAACAGAGGTGATGAAGATTCCTAGCCAACATCAACAACAACAACAGACAACAATCAGACAGCATAAATGGGAGGAACCTGAAAGAAACAACCTCCTTCACCTACCTGGGAAGCATCGTTTCAACGACAGGTGGAACTGACGAGGATATCAAAGCCAGAATTGGAAAAGCAGGACACGCTTTCACTACTCTTAAGTCTATATGGAGATCGACAATACTCAGCATGAAAATAAAAATCCGGATTTTCAACTACAATGTGAAGTCAGTGCTGCTATTATACGGATCAGAAACTTGGCACGTCATGAAGAGTATCTCAAACAAACTTCAGACCTTCATCAACAGTTGTCTTCCCTCACTACTACTCAAGATCAGATGGCCGGCCAGAAAAGATCAGGAACAGGGATCTCTGGCAATAAGCGAACCAACCCAGCAGGAACCGATTGTGAAACAAATAGGCAGGAAGAAATGGAGATGGATTGGCCATACTCTGAGGAAACCATCAAGTGACATCACTAGACAAGCCATTGCTCGAGTGGAACCCGAAAGGGAGGCGGCGAGTTGGTCGTCAGTGCAAGGGTGACTTGGAGGAAGTCATGTGAAGAGGAGATGAAAGCATGTGGACAAACCTGGAGCGGGGTGAAAAAGTTGTCAGAAAACCGAAGGCAATGGAGGTGCGCAGCTGAAGCCCTATGTTCCTCTAGGAACTAAAGGATACAATAATAATAATAATAAATAAAATAAAATGAATAAAAAACAACAAAAAAGATAAAATAAAAACAAATAACTCAGAAGCTTGCAATCGCACCATGGCACCAGCGTCATTTCTTCTGATATTCCGTCTTACTCTACTAATCGTGTGCATAGCGCCTCTAAATTGCCTTAACTCTTTTCTTCTTTCCTTTCGCAATTTTTTAATTCATATCTCTTCAAACTTTCTTGTTATATTCAATGTTATTGTACAAAGCCTGGCTACTTTTGTATACCGAAGCTTGCCGGTTTCCCACCAACTTTCCAAGGGGGAGGCGGATAACCTGTAGTGAACATTGAACCTTTGAACTTTTGTTTGGACTTATTTACCCACTCGTTTGGCACTACTTCATCTTTTTATGAGTTGTAACTCTTTTCCCTATCTCGTTGTGCTTTCAATCAACGCACTCTCCGAGCCTACACCACCAGTCAAGACAGCAGATAAGTTGTATAACCTCTTTATTTATCAAATTTCATATCTCATTTGTGTAAAATATAGCTCTGTTCCAGACACACTTGTTATCTCGAGTCTTTTTTAACCTTGATTTCGTCCGCCAGTGCTTACACGTTAGGTAGAGTATAGCTAAGGTCGTAAAGTGGTGAAGTTTTTTGTAAGTGTGGTTACTTTGAGGTCTACATTAAGTCAAGTCTAAATCTTACCGTCTCATCAGCGTTTATCCGATCTATCTCCAACTTCCTTTTCATATTCGTTGAGCAATAAGTTCTTTGTTAGTCCATTCCTAGAGTTTCTCGTTGTTAAGTTTCTCTGCCTTTTCGGTATATAGTATAGAATTAGCAAAGGTAACTCTATCGGAGAAAGTCTTCAGTTTTCTGGAATTTTGGTGACATGTCAAATTTCTGACCCATATAGAACAAGGCGGCCTGCTTAAATCATTTGGGCTACCGAAATTACTTTCCTCCAAAAGGCTTAATTTCATCTGGATTTATCATTGTTTTCATCGTCCAGAGTTATATCAAATGACCTATACATAAACTTGCGCGATGATTTAACTTGCTCCCAAGTAAACGCTGTACAATTCTTCAATGAAATGAAGATATACTTCAGATTATTACTTTACATGTGAATCTTGTGTGAAGAAAAAAAGTACTTTGGAACTGAAGAGGCTGAAAATTTTTGTAGCGTATTTTTGCATACTGTCTTGAATAACGCTTTACCATTATTATTATTATTATTATTGTTAACTGACAACTTTGGTGCTTGAAATTCAAGTTTCATTCTTTATTCTGACTGCCTGAGATTTCCATACTGATATCAGGGTTACGAATGTGCCCCCTGTCTTTCAGATTTTGGTTTTGACACCGTCATCAGTGGTGTTAACCGTAGCTGAAATGATGTTGAGTAAATAAGCGGAGGAAGTTATTGTTGGAGGTGAGATAAAAAAATACGAATCGCCATAGGATTTGACCTAAAGGCCTTCGAGTTCATAGAATGATGCTCTACCCAGTGAACAATGGAACCAAATTGTTAATCATATAACTGTTTCCCTACAGTAATAATACGTAAAGGTCAAATTGTTATCCCCATCTATTCATTACCAAATCATCTCCACAACTGGGTCTTCTCGTGTCAGTCTTAATCACGTGCTGTAACAGTAGGAGAGGTATTATTATTGTTAATATTGTTCCCTTGGGTTCCTACTGGAACATAGGGCTTCAACTGTACGTCTCCATTTGCCACTTCTGTCTTCCTTCTGTTGTACTTTTCACCTCCATCCATGTCAGTCCATACTCTTTCAATTCCTCTTCACACGATCTGCTCCATGTCACCCCTGCACTGACGACCCACCGGCCGATTCCCTTTCGGCCTGGTTCCACTCGAGAAATGGCCTGACGAGCGCGACATGTCACCCAGCGGCGGCCTCCTCATCAGCGAGTGCCGAATCCATCTCCACTTTCTCCTGCATATTTGTTGGTTGGCGATCGGTTCTTGTTTAGTTTGTTTGTTCCCATAGTTTGTTCTTGTTGGTGATTCTTTCCGGCCCGGCCCGGCCATCTGATCTGATCTTCAGTATAGAGCCAGCGAAGATAGTTAGTTGTTGATGATGAAGGTGTGCAATAGCCTGTTGGAAATATTCTTTGTGACCCGCCCGCCCGCGAAGTTTCTGGTCCGTTCCATATAGAAGAACTGACTGACTTGACGTTGTTTGTATTGAAGATCGGACTGAATCTTGTTGTTGATGCTGGCTGGGTGACGAAGATTTCCAGATTGGTTTCAGGTTTATTGATTAATGTGTTTCTCACCTGCCTTCCCGATTTTTGCTCGGTTTGACATTCTCATCCGTTCCGACTGGCTGTAGTTGAGACAATGCTCCCTAGCTGGATAAGTGAGTGAATGAAGTAACCTCTTTCAAATCCCTCCCGTTGATAGTGATTGGCACTGGATGTTTCTGCTGTTTTTATTGGTTGGTCGGTAGATTATTTTCATAACCTCCGTCTTGTTCACTTATGTTCACCTGGAGTCCTATCTTCGCCGGCTGCTTCTTCGACCAGTTCGTGGGTTTTCGCTTGTAAGTCTTCGATTTTGTGTGATATCAAACATAAATCATCCACGCGTGAAATCCAGGTCTTCTAGGTTCTTCACGTCAGTCGGTCCAGGAGGTCTTTAAATAATAGTGAAACTGTATGTAACTATCTTGTGCTATTATTATTTATTATTATTCTCTTGAGTTCCCAGTGGAACATAGGGCTTCAAAAACAGATCACCACTTTGTTCTATTTTCTGCCGTTCTCTTCAGCTGGCTCTAAAATTGCCCAGACTCTTGTTGATCTCCTCCCCCTACTCACACGATCCCCTCCATGTCACCCTTGTACCGACAACCCACTCGTCGCTTCCCATTGGGATTCCATTCGAGCAATGGTCTCAGTTACGTGCGACGTCATTCGATGGCCTCCACATCGTAAGCCTGATCAATTAATCTCCATTTTCTCCTACATATTTGTTGAGTGTTCTGATCTTGGTTCGTTTGTTTCAAGCCAGAAATTCTTGTTACTAGTTTTTTTCTGGCCGGCCGGTTGGTCATCTGATCTTCAGTATAAAGCCAGCCAGCGAAGGTGTCAGCTGTTGATAAAAGTCCTGAGTTGAAGGTGTTTTATTGGTGTAGTTAGCGTTAGACTTCGAATCGTGCAATCATTTGGGTTTACATTTTACCTTCAACTTGCATCACTAACTATCGATCTTAATGTCGTAATTTGTGCTCATTCGATTAGTTTCAAGTCTGATCACGAATTCTCAACACACACACACACAGAGAACCATTGAAAGCTAGAAAGGTGGCAGTAAAAGTCACGATACGATAAAAGTTTGAATTCTCCCAGCAACTGAATGCTCGGTGAGATTGACACCCTTAGGGTTCTCGATGCGTACTGATGAACAACCCCGAAGTACTAGGATGAAACTGCCCTTCAGGACTTCCTGAATTTTCATTTTATTAATAACAACACGGAAAACAATAATAAAACTGATATTTTAAACGAATAAGAATAGTCTGTACTAATGTGTTTGTTTGTGTGTGTCTGCGTGCGTGCGTGCATGCGTGTGTTTGTACAGATCAATGACAACTTACTGATTGCATTGTACGATAAGGTCCACGTTCACTGCCAGCTTTTGTACACTCAACAAATAAATTGATCTGTTCAGCGATATGATTATTTGATCCAGTTATCATTAATCTAGAAGAAGAAAAAAGAATATCAAAGAAATTTTTAAAAAAAAAAAAATCAATATGAGAATATTCTCAAATATTTACTTACAAGGATTTAATTGATTTCAAGTGAAAAGTTCATGTGCTTGTTTAATATGTGAAACATGGACACCGTAATAGTATGGAAGTAATTCCATGCAAACTTTTTCTGTATACAGAATTTGGCGCTATATATTGACGAATTGCCAACGCTTCCGCCATACACAAAAGCTGAAACCTGACACTCTTTGTACCATTTGGTTTCACCTTGTAGATGATCTTGGAAGACGACTCTGGTAGAGCTGCGTAACCTTAGTGTTTTTAGTTAGAGAACCATTTAAAAAATCTGCAGGGAGTACTGGACATCTGTTTCGCCCACCTGGTCTAGGACTATTCATCAGTAGGCATCCAAACTAGAACGAAATAGCTGTTCAGTACACCCTGGTTAGTTTCTCAATGGTTCTCTAACTAATCTCAGCTCATGATGAAATCCTACAGCCAACGAGATCTATCTATTGAAGAACTGTAGAGATAAGAATTCGTGGGGTAATATATTCCATCTCTTCCGTGACTCAGTGGCTAACAGGTTGGCTTCGTAAATTGAAGGATTAAAATCCGATCTCCAGTGAGATGACGAGCTCCAGGCTAGAACAAAATGGCTATTATATAATTCTTGCTTTTTATGTGTTCCATAACGGAAAGCATTTCGTGGTATAGCTTGAAAGATAGAGGAAAGTGAGGTACCAGAGGAATTAAGTTCTCCTTTTCAAAAAAGAGAAGGTTGAATAAAGAACAGTGGAGAAACAGAGGCGGCTAAGGAGAGAAGGTGTCAAACTTGACAGCATCACTTATGTCATATACAGGGTGTTTAACGTCAACTGGTTTTCCCTTAATTGTGTTATAAAGAGAGTAATAAGACTAACAAATCTGTCAAATTTATCAGAAATGCAAGCTGTTATGTATACAACTGGAAGATATGCAAGTGAAAAGTAGCAAGTTGGCAGAAGAAGCATCAAAGATAGGACTTCAATTCAGGTGAACATAGATAAAACAGAGGTGATGAAGATTCCTAGCCAACATCAACAGCCACAGAACAACAACAGACAACAATCAGCCAGTATAAATGGGAGAAACCTGAAAGAAACAGCCTCCTTCACCTACATGGGAAGCATCGTTTCAACTACAGGAGAACGGAACTGACGAGGATATCAAAGCCAGAATCGGAAAAGCAAGACAAGCTTTCATTACTCTCAAATCTGTGTGGAGGTCAACAGCACTCATCATCAAAAATAAGATCCGGATTTTCAACTCCAATGTAAAGTCAGTGCTACTATACGGAACAGAGACTTGGCGAGTCATAAAGAGCATCTCAAACAAACTACAGACCTTCATTAACAGCTGTCTTCGCTCAATACTTCTCAAGATCAGATGTCCGGCCAGAAAAGATCAGGAACAGGGATCTCTGGCAATGAGCGAACCAACCCAGCAGGAACCGATTGTGAAACAAATAGGCAAGAAGAAATGGACATAGATTGACTGGCCATACTCTGAGAAAACAACCCATCAAGTGACATCACTAGACAAGCCATTGCTCGAGTGGAACCCGAAAGGGAGGCGGCGAGTTGGTCGTCAGTGCACGGGTGACTTGGAGGAGGTCATGCGAGGAGGAGATGAAAGCATGTGGACAAACCTGGAACGGGGTGAAAAAGTTGTCAGAAAACAGAAGGCAATGGAAGCGCGCAGCTGAAGCCCTATGTTCCTCTAGGAACTAAAGGATACAATAATAATAATCTATACAACCTGTTTTAGTATAGTTGAAATATTTGCTTCAAATAAAATCGGTTAAGGCAGTATCTATTGTATCGTTTAGCGAATCATACTAATAGGATAAGAGATAACCAAACAGTGGGATTTCGCCCAGTTTTAGCCAGCCAATTATAATCATGTAGGACGAAGAAATGTTGGGTCGGAGGTTAGCATTGAGTCTAAAGGGACTGAAAATTCAAAGCATCCATTCTGAACATCATCCTACATGGTGGTTATGCAATGGTTAAAAAAAGATCTATTCGTAGCTCTGCTTTAATACATCTTGTAGATGGCAGTGAGCATAGCGTTGATGTTAATGTAGCATCCTTAACAGGAAACTCACGGAATTCTTTGAAGTGTTGACGCGATTAAGACAAGCTGGTTACGTACTATCTCCAGTGGTTTCTCCTGATTGCGGTAAACTCAGTAATGTGACAGACTGCGGCGAGCAGGGGGAAAATAGGCATAAAATTGACTCACATAAAAAATTGGAGTATCTGGACTTCAACGATGATATATGTCTGATTTCCACAAACTTGAAGATATGCAGGTGAAAAGAAACAAGTTTGTAGAAGAAGCATCAAAGGTAGAGCATCACTTCGGGTGAACACAGAGAAAATAGAGGTGATGAAGATTCCTGGCCAATAATAACAACAACAGCAACAACAACAACAGACAACAGTCAGCATAAATGGGAGGAATCTGAAAGAAACAACCTCCTTTATCACATACATCACATGGGAAGCATCGTTTCAACTACAGCTGGACGGAAATGATAAAGATATACAAAGCGAGGATCATTGGAGAAGCAAAACAAGCTTTCTTTACTCTCAGGTCTATATGGAGATCGACAACACTCAGTATGAAAATAAAAATCCGGATTTTCAACTCCAATGTGAAGTCAGTGCTACGTACTGTATGGATCAGAGATTTGGCGCGTCATAAACAGCACCTCAAACAAACTACAGGCCTTCATCAACAGCTGCATTCGCTCAATATTCAAGATCAGTTGACCTGTCAGAAAAGATCAGCAGCAGGGATCTCTGGGAACAAACCAACCAGGAACTGATTGTGCTGCAAATAGGCAGGAAGAAATGGAGGTGAATTGGCTGGCCATACTCTGAGAAAACAAGCCATCAACTGACATCACACGCCAGGTTCTCTCTCTCTCTCTCTCGAGTGAAACCCGAATGGTAAGCGGCGGGTCGGTCGTCAGTGTGAAGGTGACTTGGAGGAGGTAATGTGAAGAGCAGATGAAAGCATGTGGGTAGACTCGTAGCAAGGTGGAAAGATTGGCAGAGAAGGGGAGCGCAATGAAGACGTGCGGGTGAGGCCCTATGTTCTTCTAAGAACTCAAGGAAAAAATAATATAATAATAATAAAAGCTGGTTAACCAATACGTTTTCTTGGGATAGAAGTAAAATTAACGATGGGAAATTGAAATGACCGTAACATGTTTGAGTGTGAATAAGTTTTCTCACTTAGAAAAAACGCCAGAAGATATGGTATAAGAAAGTTGGGAATCTATGAGAGTCGACGGCATGGAAGTAGACTCGCCAAGTTGTTTACTTGAGAGTCAGTAATCCGCTCCAGTCATGCTGGAGACAACGACAAGCACATTAAGGGTGTGGTTATCATGATGTAACCAACGCTATCGAAAGCTCTTTTATGCCATTGGAACTAATCGCCTCCAGGACCGTGACAAAAGTATCACGTCAAATGGAAGGAAATTTACAGTTAACCATTACTGCTCTCTTATAAACAACACATAGAGGAAGAGAAGAAGGGGGAAGTTTTATAGATAACCGCAAACAGTAATCGATAGAATCTCAAAGGGAGACATCAAAATCCTGATGGGCGATATGAATGCCAAACTAGGAGAACAAAACAAAGTGGAATAAAACTTATCATGGGTCGACAAACTCTCAACGAGAAGGATGAGAATGGATAAGTATTTACAGATTTCTTTACACTCAGCTATTTGATGTTTGGAGGCAGTGTGTAAAAACACAAGAACATACACAGTGAGCCTTAGGTTTCAACAGATAGACGCACTGAAATCAGATAGACTTCATCGCAGTCTCAAAAGTAAGTGGAGAAGCATCCTGTTGGACATAAAATCGAGAAGAGGAGAGGTTGTCTCAGGCCGTTATCTAGTAAAAATAATCTTTAAGAATGCTGGAATTTCCAATTCAACATTCAGAAACTGAAAGACACACACACACACTCAAGGAATCAAAGAATAGTCGGAGATATAATGTAGCATCACCGATAAAACCTGTGTGGAATAACATTAGAACTCTCTGAGAGTGCTGTTGCAGGAAACATGTGTCACCGTCTCAAAAAGAAGGAAGTAACAGAAACAAGGAATGGTGCTCGGCGGTCACGTGAAAGCGATGAATCTGGCGTGTGTTTAAGGATAACACGGTGAAGATAATGCTAGGAGGAGACAAAACCTTGTTGGCAGTCGTGGAGCAAGATGAAAGTGAAAGTGAGAACGATGGTATAGAATATACTCCAAAGAAGAGATATGAGTTCTATAGACTGACTGATTTTGGCAGAGAAGCATAGCATTTCGAGTTGCCACACACCCCCTGTACCAACCACACAAAGGAAGATAAAAGGGAGAAAAATGAGATTCTAATGAATTCTGTTAAGCAGAAATGGGAAGGAGAAAGAAGAGTAAATCGGAACAGCAATCGGGCAGTGTTTTAGACATTTTGGATCACAGAGAGTGAACGCATCTGAGCCGCTGACTACGACTTCGAACCATATCACCAACTGTCTCCAGCCTTCATTGATTCTAAGCATCCCCAAGTACCTCGACCAGCCAAACAGTCTACACTTACCTACTTGGCGGCCTCAGACTAACTATCAAGGTTTTCATGGAATGATTCCATATTTTTTCTCATTTGACCACCGCCAGCCCTTTTCCAGCCTCACTGTCCCTATGTCTGCTAAGATTGCTCGTCATGGGAGATGATAGATAGTTAGGCATGCATAACACATGTCCTAACTTCACAACCTCCTCGAACGACTTTCCCTCTTTACCTGCCCTACCACTTTACACGCAAATAGAATGCGGACTCCTATGATCAGAGATATCTAAGCTTTTCATGTCTTCATCTTTCAGTGGCCATGTCTCTCTCTCTCTCTCTTTCAGTCATAAAGGAGAACACAGCC